CTTAAAAACAAATCATTAAAAAGTGGCAGTACAAGCAGACATTATTAAATTATTAAACAAGTTGCACAACACACACACAAAAAAAACAAACAAATTGAAACTCTTTGATAACCTAAAAATGTTGTTAATATGGTAATGTGTTAACTGTAAGCTAGTTAGCTTAAGCCTAAAACTAAAGCTATTTTGAGCAGCAGCATGTAGTTGATACAGAAATCATGCATTCAATCACTAAACTCAGCAACTTGGTGCTGCAAAAATATAAAACAAGTAGATACTGACAAGTTTAAAATGTTGAAAGTTTCTTACCTGTTTAGAGGTGGTTTGTCTTCCATTTGCTGGTTTGCCACATGTGCTGTCAGCCATTTAATGAATCTCAAGACTTGCCATTTGGGGGAGGAGCTAACTGCCACATGGGGACCAGTGAAGTTGGGGAAGGTGTCCATCATGATTGCCTGACTCAATATTTGTATTAGTCTCCCTCACACAGAGGTGKGGGGTGTTAATAGTCATAATGGGGACCACAAAAATCAGGAAAAGTGTTTTTCATTTGAACCCATTACATATGATTAAAAAATGTGTAGAAAGTCTGAATTGCTTGTAACATATATAAATAATCCCAATTAAACTTTAAATTAAAAAAAGTAATTAATAAGAATTAAGTAGCCTTTGTATGTCTGACTCACGGCTTGCAATAGTCTCTCTCACACAGARGTGGGGGATGGTAATAGTCATGATGGGGACCAGAAAAATCAKGAAAAGTGTTTCTGGGTTGAACCCATTTTGATTAAAAATATGTAGAAAGACTGATTTTTTTTAGAATAAAGATATATTAATGATTTCTGTTTAACTGTAAATCTGGTGGCAGATAATCTAAGCAACTACTTTTATTCTGTTCCTTTTATTTATTTTTTATTTAGTCTTTATTTATACAGTTAAACCTTTTGAGAAACACTTCTCGTTCATGAACATGACCTGGTCAAGAGGCTGCATGAATAAATAAAAACATATAACATTGAGCTTACAACAAACAAACATTTTCATTAAAATAAATAAATAAATAAATATAGAAAGAAGAAATCAAAAAGGTGCTTAAATGTGTGTTTTCAGAATTGTCAACAGAAACAGGAATCAGTGATAGTGTTTTGGATATTCTGCTTAAATCTGAAGATTGGGATCAGAGATATAAATTTAAGGGTATTCCTGGTCATGTGTGTTCCAGTCATGTGCTGCTGCAAAGTGAAAAGCATTACGTCCAAAGGTGGTAGATGTTGGAAGGGTGTTAAACTTGATGATGTTACTTGATCTTGTTTGATGAGTGAAGGGAAGAC